AGCGTCCAGACTAGCGTGCTGAGCCGACAAACAGCTAATCAGCTGTTTGTCGGCTCAGCGCGGCAGCCATGTAAATTTAAATGAAGCCGCGATCATTTAAATCATGGCTTCATTTACCTTTGCCTATGTGTCTAATCTACATGCCTCTGACGACAGAGGCATGTAGTCTAGACACGGCCTATGTTTTAGTCCAGTTCTACAGTGATAGAAATGCACTGAATTGTTATTTGGTTGCAGGAATGGAGTTCAATTGCAAATCAGGATAATCAGAGCTGGATTTTTCCAATCCACAAAAACCACATGTAGCAAATACTGTGTGTGCTGTGGAGTTGTGATATAAATGTTTGTTTTGGAAGTACGATGAGAGCTGCTTTCTTCTTGCATGTGCGCTTCCTGTCAGCCATGAATAGGGTTGCCAATCCTCCTGCTTTCAAAAGGAGTCTCCCAGAATCACACCTTATCTCTCAGAGGTTATTTCAGCCAATCTGGGAGATTTTTGATGCTAATATTCCAGCAGCACAGTGACACTAAGGCAGGCTCCCTTGGCTACACTACCTCCCTGCCTTGGCTACACCCTCTTTCCAGAAGCTTCTGGCACTGTCCCTGCGGGAGGTTCTTCACTTGCTGTCCTTGCCCTCAGCACTGATTCTGCAGCTCCCATTGGCCAGGAACTACAGCCAGTGGCAGCAGCAAGGGTGGTGCCTGCAGGCAGCAGTGTGCAGTGGAGGGATGTGCCAGTCTGGAGGAGTCTCCAGAGGTAAATGTCGACCCACTGACCAACTCCTGCACCCCAGCCACTCTGCCTCAGGTCAGATCCCGAATCCCCTCCTGCACCCAAACTCCCTCCCAGAGTCCAACCCCTATTCCTCTCCTGCACCCCAGAGCCTGCATCCTGCACTCCATCCTGCACCAATACCTTGCCCCAGCCTGGTGAAAGTGACTGAGGGTGGTGGGAGTGCAAGCGATGGCAGGAGGTAGGATAGAGTTAGGTGGAGCACGGCCTTGGAGAAGGGCATGGCCTCAGGGAAGGGCAGGTCATAGAATCATAGAATAATAGGACTGGAAGGGACCTCGAGAGGTCATCGAGTCCAGCCCCCCGCCCTCAAGGCAGGATCAAGCTCCGTCTACACCATCCCTGACAGATGTCTATCTAACCTGTTCTTAAATATCTCCAGAGAGGGAGATTCCACCACCTCCCTTGGCAATTTATTCCAATATTTGACCACCCTGACAGTTAGGAATTTTTTCCTAATGTCCAATCTAAACCTCCCCTGCTGCACTTTAAGCCCATTACTCCTTGTCCTGTCCTCAGAAACCAAGAGGAACAAATTTTCGCCTTCCTCCTTGTGACACCCTTTTAGATATTTGAAAACCGCTATCATGACCCATGTCAAGGGTCTTTGGGTTTGTACGATTGGACAGTGGGCAACCTAGGCCCGAATGAGCAACTAGAGTCACTGATAAGGCCATTAGCTAACTTCTACAATGAAAGTGATGTCCTACCAAGTTTCCTCTTAAACAAATGGACCTAACTACGGCAGAGGTAAACAAGAAACAATCCCATCAAAAGGTGGAATTGCAACTGTACAAGCTGCAACAGGAGAAGGGATCATTTTTCATCTACTATGTTAGATGGCCTGACTTCAAGATAAACACTAAGATTCCTCCTACCCCACCCCTTTTAAGGTGAATGGAACAGCATAAAGGAACTCTGTACGTCCCCGGTCAGGAGACAAGATTGCTAACTTTGTAATATTTAAAAATCAGACAGTCCAGTGGGAGTGCTGAATCCTTCTACACTTTCCCCTGCGAGCCCTTTTCCCTGTTCCTCTTCCTCTCCAGACCCAATCCACCCACCAGTTCTCCCCTCTTCTCCCCTACTCTCTTCTTCCCTACTCTCTTTACTTGCTGTTGGTCCCCTCTCTCTCTTGCTCATGGCAGGAGGGACTTGCCTGCAGAATTGCAGCTGGGAGCGGCAGCAACCTGATGCAGGTACGAGGTGGCCCCAGCTGAATGGTAGGTGGCACAGTGACCTGGTGCCTCTCTGCCTCACCCGCCCACAGTAACAGGCGTGTCTGATCAGTATATCTGACTGGACACTGTCGGGTCCCCTTTTCAGTCGAACTTTTTGGTCAAAAACCAGGTATCTGGCCACCCTGTCTAGAAAGGAGGAGATTTCCTCAGGCATATTAACTGAGGAAGATAGCCAGAGGCTCAGAGGAAGCCAGTGAAGAAATTCCTTTGTATAGAGCACCTCTCTGTCCTCTTTCTGTCAGTTATACACAAGATTAAAGACTGGCCAAACCTTTCAAACTAGAGTGCCTGAAAGCAGGCACTGAAATAAGTGTGAGTAGGAGCGGCATTATTTTCAATGGTGTTGAACACCCACTACTCTTTGAGGGCTTGTTCATACATCTTAATGCACATGTGCGTAGGTGTGGAGACTATTGTCCAGCAGTGTCCTTTGGGGCCATGATGCATCTTGTTTCCTTACTTGTTGCTGTGAATTGGATACTGCTTAATATTAAGCAGCTGCCTTTTGGCAATTTTTTGGATAGTTGTTAATGGCTAAGGGAAGTTTTTACCTTCCATATTATGTCTTTTTTCCTGACTCAGATCTTCTTCCCACACCACAGCATAGTGGTGTCTCACTACAAGTCGCCCAGTTTCAAGTATCACTCCTCCTGTGAGGTAGCAGTTCTAATTAATGATAGACCCAGCAGATGCCTTTTTTTGTCTTGGGAAAGCTCATATACTCAGGAAGTGTTCAGTGTGTAAGTCCTTAAAGGTGAAGGAGACATGTTAAATTGTTTAATTGCTCCATCTCTCTAGCTTCTTATCTGGAAACAACAGATCTTTCAGGACAAATTCTGTTGCAGTCCTGAAGCATCCCTGTGAATTCTAGATCCACTAGCTCCAGGTTCCATCTTTGATGATCATTTCAGTTTCAGACTTTGGTGGGAATTAAATCAACAAAGGATCAACATTGCTGCTGGGAAAGTCAAGGACAAAACCCCGATGGGTATTTCCAATGAGAGGCCCAACTCGCCTCAACACTAGCATTTTAAAAAGGCCCTATGTCACAAATCGGGAGTAGTGTAGATAGAGGAGACAAAGAAGGGGCAGTGTAGACAGCTCCTTCTGGTGCAAGATCCTCTTCTGCAAAAATGGCGGCTCATTAGGTATGCAAATGAGGCTCGGCAATATTCCATGCTTCGCCTCATTTGCATATTTCTCATGCAAGAAGCCGCGAGTGTAGACATAGCCAGAGTGTTTCAGTACTAGGCATGTTGGCACTATCCCCCTCGATGCTTTCTGCTCTCATGCTGAATTTATAGCACAGTCCCTCTTGTTCAGAGTTGTTAATAAAATGGTGGCAGTTTCCAGGATTAGCCCCTGGTGATCTGCCACCACTATATTTACCTGCACCTCCACAGGTACTGGTGACCACACCTCCCATTGGCTGCGGATCACTATTCCTGGCCAATGAGAGCTGTGAGAAGTGGCATGGACTGGTACTCTGTTTCCTACAGTTCCCTTTGACTAGGAATGATGATAAGTGACCAACAGGAGCTGCACTTTGTACCTGTAGAGGCGCAGGTAAATACTGGCAGTGGGAGGGGGGTACCAGAGGCTAACCCTAGCATACTGGATCCAGCCCTTGGATCAGTATTTGCCCACCTCTGCTCTTGTGTATGTGGTACTGAAGGATTTTCAGGTTTCAGAGGAACCAGAATTTTCTCTTGTCTCCAAGGGGCTAAGCATACCTTCAAACATGAGTGCTTGCCCTCTCCTCGGCATTATGTGACTCATGGAACTGACTGCATCTAAACTTACCCTTTTTGAGAACCTTCCAGTTTTAATCTTTTATTGTATTCTATTGTGAGCTGTCAAAACTAAAAGATGTACAAATCACAGATTAAAATGTGAGGGGCAAAACTGTAATGCTGACAGGGAAATCTGCCTGTCTGATATTCACAGTGCTTACAGGAGCGAACCATCAATTTAGGAAACACTTCTGGTGAAGAAGTTGTAGGCAGTTCTAATGATGCTGCAACAATTAGTGCTGTACAGTTAGCATTAGCTTCTGTTTTAGGGAAATTACTAAATGTCTTCAATGTACAATAGAGGTATGGGATGTCATTTTTTAAAGTTCATAACATTTTACTGAGAGAATTTTAAAGGCACCATTTACTTTTAATTTGGGATCTAATCCCATCCCTTTGAAAATGATGGCAAAGCTCTTGTTTATTTCCATGGGGTCAGTTCATTGGTGAGTAAAAGGTACTGTATTTACTGTTCAAGAAATGTTAAAATGATACAGTGAAACCTTTGTTATCCAGCACTTTGTTAACCGGCATTGCACGCAGCCACAATACTATCACATCTTCAGGCGTACAGGCCTGGCTTGGTTTACCATGATTGGTTTAACAATTTTTTATGTAAGAAGTACTAATCATCTTTAACTCAAAATAGAAATGAGAGACCAACTGCCTCACACTACAAAACTACCAATATTAAAAACTTGAGTTTTACTATTATTGTCCATTGATTTTTCCTAGGTTGATGGAATCCTCAGATAATCAGAATTTTTAGATAACCGGAATGCCCTAATCCCTGAGCATGCTGGATAACACTAAGTTTTACTGTAATAACCAACCATAATCCGTTATTAGCAGGTGCATATTTTACAGATAGCTATGTGATCTTACTGGCATTTCTAGCAATAGAGGTCACCTACATTTTGTATGTTTTAGTAACTTAGGACCTGGTTCTGCCTAGGTTTCCACTGACTTCACTTGCATTATATGATTGTGACAAAAGACAGAATTTAGCCCTTAACATAAAGCTTTGACAACTGTGCAGTGTTAGTGAGATGTAAACATATTGTGCCTAATATTGCTGTTAAAATGTTTGCTTAAGTGAGAGTGCCCTTTTTAGTTTGTGATCATTTCACATACAGAATTCTAGCTTGCATTAACAAATCTTATGTTTTGCAGTGTTTATTCAGGGCACCAGTCTATTCTGATTCCTCCCTCTGAATTGGAGACTAATCCTGCTCTATGGCTGCTAGCTGTGAGTCAGTATAAAGTGAGAGACACTTTTTGTTCCTATTCAGTCATGGAGCTTTGTACCAAGGGACTCGGTTCACAGACTGAATCACTGAAGGTGAGGAATTCAATTTTTCTTCATAGCGTGACAATTCATTTATATAGCATTTAGAACTGTTCTCTGCTCAACAGGCATGTGTTAAAGCTTTCCACTGAGAAGATAATTAGAGAGTAAAGAAGATCTTCAATACAACTAGTATAATTCCTTTGCACAGGCTGTGTATTAGCTTTTGTCACCTGCTACTCCCTACCCCTTTTCCAGATCATGAGGTTCCTAGATAAGTTTATTCTTTGAGGCTTTCCTAATGTTTAAGATCTGTGTTTATTGAACACCCAAATAGGTCACTAAATGCTAAGGTTGTAAAAGCCAGAACTATATTAGCCAACTTAATGTACATTGCACGTATAAGTAATCGAATATACTTGTTAAGTATGTGTTTGGTTTTGACATATTTGAGCACACAGAATATGGAGTCAGGAATATACTGATACTTGTGTTATGAAACTGATACATTTTTTTGCTATATATTCTGTAGCCAGTTCTTCTAACCAAATGTACTGCTTTTAAAATATCCTATTTTTTTCTTTTCAGTTACAAAGAGGTTTAACTTTTCAGATGTCAGTAATTCCTTTCATTTACTGACAACTGTATATCATTTCCAGAATTAAAGTAATTTACAAAGGTAGTGTGGTATAAATGTGAAGTAGAGAGCTTGGACCCAGGCAATGTTTTTGTGGTTCAATATTTTCTTCCTTCCATTTCTTCTTTTTTTTTTTCCACTAGATGCTATCCTTTTGTAACTACTGATGCTTGTCTACCTAGAACAAGAGTTCCCACCTTTTAGTAGAATCCCAAGCCCAAATGGATTGGAAAATAGGTGCCCCGCCATGTCCTTTCCCAAATGCATTTTGACACACTTGTTGCTGTCTCTCTGCCTTTTTCCTCCCTTTCTCTGTTTTCTATTTTCCCCTCATTTCCCTTTACATTAATTTTTTTAAGTTCTTTATTTCTCATGATTTTTGTTGATCCTTTTCCCCTGCTGCTTCTCTTTGTCTGACCTCTGGAAGCTAAAATCTCACTCACATACTGACAGGAGAGCATTGCTATCCCCATGGCTGAGTACTTACTATAAGAGCAGAGAAGAACGCTCAGGAGGGTGGACTGATGCCTGAGTCAGCAGCCCTGTATGTTAAGGCTGTCACAGGAACTGGAAAGGAGTTGGTGGGTGACTTTCAAGAAGGAACTTGCTACATGTGATATTGGCGGAGACAGTAACCTGTTTGGATTGTGTCTTCATGCATCTAGGGAACACAGTGATTCATTCTTCTGTTCTATTTTCCACATTCCAGCTACTCTGGCAACGTTTGCCCTTACCCAAGATTGGGTAGAGTAAAGCCTAAACAGCACCCACCACTAAAACTGAGACTTATTTGTGATTGATATGTTTACATTGCTCTCAAATTACTTCCAATTACTTTGAATGAAAGCAAATGTGGAAATTTGTATATGTAACATTTCTGATGTCAGTGTTTTTGTAAAAACTTAAAAAACAATTAATAGTCTAGCAGAACCTTAAAGACTAACAAAACATGTAGATGGTATCAGCTTTTGTGGGCACAACCCACTTCTTCAGATGACAGAGGTATTAGTGTTTTTGAAGACTGTCATATGCAACTGGTTGTGAAATGCCAGACCTCCTTTAAATGAATGAAAAATCCTATTATTTTATTGAAACCTATTGTGTGGAGCTTAGGGTGCACACACGGTCTATAGTCCCTTGTGCCTTTTAATAATTCTCCAATCAGTTTTTTTCCAGGACAGTTAACTCTTCCAGTTGACTAGTCATTGCAGTCCCTAGCTATTACTTGATACTAGCAGTTTTTTACTTCTGGAACTTTTTGTGATCCGTTTCCTCCTAAATACTAGGAAAGAAATTCCAAGCAAGTAGCAGACATGCATCTGACGAAGTGGGTCTTTGCCCACGAAAGCTTATGCTCCAACACTTCTGTTAGTCTATAAGGTGCCACAGGACTCTTCGCCACTCAAGCAAGTAGGTCTATTTCTCCATTAGTCATAAATGTGTCAGATGGCCATACAGCTTCCATGAAAGGCTGGAATTGGAGAATTATAATCCTGTATTTCTGTGTTCATGTTTTATTTCACAACATCACTTGTTTTCATCCACTGTTTTAAAGTTGACTAACTGTAGCTTTCACTGCATTGTAACTTCTTCTTTCCTAGGGAAGAGGACTGGACCTCTCACGTGTACGGACGTGTGTAGTCGTGGCAGAAGAACGACCCCGAATAGCTCTCACTCAGTCATTCTCAAAATTATTTAAAGACCTGGGTCTCCATCCACGGGCTGTTAGCACATCTTTTGGCTGTAGAGTGAACCTGGCTATATGTTTGCAGGTAAGATTTTCCATGCCTTAAATTTGTACAAGTGCTTGTGCTAAGGAAATGGTTATCAATAAGCAATTTTCACATCAAGCATGGGAGGTTTCGTCATATTTCATGTTGGACATTTGCTTAGTTATTCTTTAAGTGCATTAAGCAAATTCATCTGCTACTTAATGTTCCCTTTTCATATACAATTACTACACTTCTGCATTTGTCAATGAACACTGTTCATCCTTCACAATGCATTCATAGCATTTATTCTGCCCCAGATGTGCTATAATTCAGTAAAGTGTATCAGAATAACTTATACTGTTGTTACTCTAAAATAAAATGAGTTGGAATTTATTGACTATGCATATCCCTGCTTCCAAGTGCTTTCATGAAGGTATCCTAAAACAAAGTAGCTTCCTTCTGTGTGTAGAATAGTTACTTACGTTAGTCAGATAAATATTTTCTGCATGCAATATTTAGGTCTCACAGTGAAAAAGAAATCTTTCTGACTCATTTGTCAGCGTATGAGGCATATGTGTATTTCATTCATCCCATTCATCAGACGAGTCTCCAGGAGAACCTGACATTTATCTTGCATTCTCTGCTCCAGGCATTCAGCTTTGTTGATTAATAGGCTTAAAAGAAAAAAGGGAACACTGTCATCATCTAGTCTGCGTTCCTTTAAAACATAGATCCTAGAGCTTCACCTGCTGATTCTTGCATCTAGCCCAATAACTTGTGCTTAAGACAAACACATCTTTTTAGAAAGATATTCCATTTTGATTTAAAGACTCCGAGTGACTGAGAACTTACTATACTCACTAATAAAATGCTCTAATATTTAATTATCCTTAGGTTAAGGCAGTTTTTTCTATTTTATTTTTTATTTCCAGCTTGAACTTGTCTAGCTTCAAATTGTTATGCTTCTATTATGCTTGATTAAAGAGTCCTCTACTATCAAATCTTCTCCATTTGTCAGGATTTAAACTGATGAAGTTCTTACCTTTGATGAGCTAAAGGGAAAGTCTTCTGCAGTAAGGCGTGTTTTCCATCATCTGTACTTATGGTTCTTCTCTGATCCCTTTCCATTTTTCAATATCCCTTCCAAGTGTGGATAGCTGAACTCGACACCGATAGTGTCTCACCAGTGACATATATAAAGGTAATATCACCTTCTACTGACTACTCCAAGGATTGCATTAGGCTTCTTGGGAGCAGCACTGGGAGTTGGCTATCAGCCATGTCCACTAAGTCTTTTTCGGGGTTACTGTTGGCCGCCTTCAATCCCCCATTCTGTAAGTGTAACTCCCCTACATCCAGCAAAGACTATTCCAACTTTTCAGCTCTTGTGTCTCCCATGGCTTCATATTGGGGAGCTCTTCGTGGATAGTAACAAAAGCCTTGCTCAAATATGGAAGCCAAAACCACATCTGAGTAGAAATACAGCAAATAACGCACTTGCCACCCCCTTCTGCTATTCACCATTTTTACAGCACTTTGTTTTACAAGCCAGACATCTAAAAATGCTTCATAAGTATAGGTAATCAGTCCAGCACAGACCAGGCTTTTGTTCCTTATCAGCAGCTTTGCCCCAGCCTATTGCGGAACTGACTAATCAAAGCCTTCATCAGACCTTGATTTAAAGTGACCTGGCTACTGCAACATGTTAACAGAAAATGAATGTAGGAGTCGACCCATCTCTCTATCTGTCATGCAACCTAATATCCCTTCAGTCTACAACTAAATCAGTCGGTGATTTTAAATATCACTATTGTTTATACGACATGATAAAGCTATAGTCAGACGAGAAAGATGAAACGTCATTCTTTGCTCTGGAGGTAGCCCTTTGTAATTCAGCATTCTATCAGACAGTCTACTGGCATGTAAAACTTCACGGAAATCTCCCGCATTCCTAAAAGCAATATTTGAATCCTTTTATAATAAATGTCCCTTCTGCTTAATAAATGTAAGATCAGACTTAGTCTGTATTCAGGTTTAGAAACAGCTGTGTTAACATCTACATGATATATTTCACTTAATAAATATTTGAGATCTCTCCTGTTTAAGGAGTTCTGTACCCTTGCAGAGAAACTTTCTTTTTCTCTCTGGAGTACCTGGAGCTGTAAGAGAGATAGGAAAACCTAATGAAACAAGCAATCAAAATTTTAATTAAAAAAGCACTCTAACTTCATCTTTAGAAAAAATAACAAGAAGTCCTGTGGCACCTTATAGACTAACAGATTTATTGAAGCATGAGCTTTCGTGGACCAAGAACCGCTTCATCAGATGTATCATGCATCTGACGAAGTGGGTCTTTGCCCACAAAAGCTCATGCTCTAATAAATCTGTTAGTCTATAACAGCATTTCTTAAACTGTGTTCCGTGGCACACCAGTGTGCTGCGAGGCAATCAGAAGTGTGCCGTGGAAAGAACAGAAACAATTCTGCTCCCCAGTCCCCTGCAGAGCCCGCAAATAGCTCCCACTGTGGCTGCCCCTTCTCCCCGCCAGCCCACAGGACGGCCCTGTCCCACGAAGCCTCTGGTGCTGAGCAGTCTTCTCCTCCTCTATGTGTGCAGGTGGCAGCTTTTACAGCAGCCACTGCTGCTGGGAGGAGGAAGAGGGAAGGTGGCCGGAGTTGAGGAGCTGCTCTTGGACCTCGGTGTTTTAAAACTGCCGCCTGCGGGGAACTCGATTCAGGCTCTGCCACCTCCCTCCCCCTTCCCCCCCCCACACCCTGCCCCGCACACATGTGGGGCAAGCTCGGGCTCTGCTGCCCCCCCTCCTCAGGGCGCGATTGGGCTCTGCTGTCCCCCATGCGCTGCTGTTCTCTCTCTCCTGCGCCCCTACCAGCCTGCTGGGGAAGTGGCTGAGTTTAATCTGGCGGGGATGGTTGGGGTTTCTACTCTCCCACCCCAACCCCCGCCCTGCCAGTGGGAAGCCTGGCCTGGCCTGGCACTGCAGCAGTGGTGGGTTTCCCCCCTCCCCCACGGAGGAACAAGAGCATGCTCCCTGGAGGTTTTCCATGCTGCAGCAGGGTGCCAAGCCAGGTAAGCATCCCCCCTCGTGCCCAGACCCTGTACCCAAACCCCCTTTTCTCCCCTCCCCCTGCCAAGACCCTACATTCCCAGCTTGCTCTGATACCCTGCCACAAGTCCCCTCCTGCACCCTTCCTCCTGGCCAGACACCCTGCCCCAATACCCGCTCCTGGCCAGACATTCTGCCCCAAGACCCCTCCTCTACCCTCCCTCTTGGCCAGACACATGAACTTATTTACCATTTGTTTATTATTATCCTTACTTTTTTGTGGTCTACATTTTCAGACTGTTATTAGGGCAGTCTTCCTGGGGGGGCGGAGGGGGGACGGAGGGGGGAGGAAGGGGAGTCATGGTGCATTTCTATCCCCCAGGTCTCCCAAGTCTGGTGGGGTGTGTTTGTTTGTTTTTTTGCTTGCCATCTTTGATGTTCCCCATAAAAAAAAAATATTGCTTGGTGTTCCTCAGTCTTAAAAAGTTTAAGAAACACTGGTCTATAAGGTGCCACAGGACTTTCGTTGTTTTTGCAGATTCAGACTAACACGGCTACTCCTCTGATACTTCATCTTTAGAGACTCACATCAAAGAGTTCCTCAGTCTGCTTTCTTTTGGAGAACTGATAACAAATAGGGCTTAGTTTACTTCTTCACCATGAATACATCAATGGTACTTTAAAAGCTGTGTGTCAGGGAAAATGCAGCATATGCAACTATTGATACCTACTGTGTAGGTGGAGCCACAACACTTTTTAATGGGAAAGAAAGTGACAACCATCTAGGAATTCCTTGTCAAGAAAACAAAAGAGAATCAAATGAATTTGCCACTTAGACACAACAGTCTGCTGGTTATACTTGCCTTGCTTTTGACTTTGAAATGGCTGCAGGATTTCCTTTTGTATGGGAGGAGGTGGTGATGGGAGACATAGCTCAGGGAAATTATGGTATTGCTGTTATGACAGGCTGCTTTAAGCATCCACTAAAATTTCTCAAGTACATCAGGTCAGTGGCCCTTCAATCCCTGAAGTTTCAACCCTGAAACTATCTTATCAAAGCTTTGCTTGAATTCACCCTGTGCTCTGATGCAGATGAGAACACCATGAAGGGCATTGTAGATAACAAGGACAAGCTTCCCATTGTATTCAAGCTCTTCAGAAAGACCTACTGGCACTAAATGCTGCAAATGAGTTGAGAGAACACTGACCAGTTCTAAAGTTTAGGCCTTAAGTCAATCTCAAAAATATTGTTGATCCTAATTTGTGTGGAAGTCCAGGTAAACTCAAAGAAATGACAGGCATATCCTGTCACTTGAGAACCTGATCAATTCTGAATTTTATCTGGGCTACTTTATTAACTTCAGCCATTGGGAGTTTATGTGAATGAACAAAAGTAAACAACAGTTCTTGAGACGGGATTGCCCCTTAAATGACTTTTTCTTAATGATTTTGACTGCAGATTTTCAAGCTGTATGCAGCACAAAATAAGAGGCAAGTCCAGCCCATTAACATCCGGAGAGAACTGATGTAGCTACTCAAGTTGACAGTTCTCTTAGGGTATGTTCAAATAGTTTAGCAGCAGGCATCTCAATCCACAGGAGGAATTTAAGAATATGTATATGATTTTTTTTTTTTTTAAAAGTGGCTTTGAGTAGAAAACTGCTTAGTTTCTGTTTTGAAGTAGTCTACTGCTTATAATGTTGCCCTGTACATCACTCTTATAGTCAGAATGGCTCTTAAAGCATTTAAGCAAGGAAGATGTCAAGTGTGATTTGAAGTAATAGTGGAGCTGTTAGTTATAAAAGTAACTGCAAAATATGGCTAGATTGAAAATATAAAATAAATGTAGAATACCACACGGTTGGTACTGTTGACTGGGAAAGATTGGATGCTGAGATTGATGGACCACTGTTCTGATTTAGTATAGCAGTTCCTGACTTGTAGTATGCAGGTGTCTTGACCCAGAGGGTATTCTGTTTCCAGGATGGCAGGTAGAAGAGCAGAATAGGTCTTAATCTTTTCTCAGTGAGGTTCTTTAAGTTAACATCTCTTCCTCATGTTCAGGAACTGGTCCTTGTTTGCTGGGGTCTTAATGCAGTGCTTCAGAAAAGTGCTTTTGTATGTTTCTGAGCCTGTGGCATCTGCTTTTGTATTTGTTCATACAACTGATGTAATCCTACCTCCTACTCTGTAATCACTATATGAAAGAAGGTGGAGGAAATATTGATATTATCAGTATATACTCCTTCAAACTTTACTTTCCATAAGGCTGGTATTCTGACTCATTCGAGTTTCCTCCTAAAAATTTACACCCAGGAGTCATCTTTATCTAGTGGTCTTAGTGCTCATCATTTGTCCCTTCTTCAGAGAAAGGCCTAGTCTGATTGTCTTCAGAGTGAGTTACCTTTTTATTTGACTTGGATGCAATCTCCTGTTCCCCTCTCACTTGAATTCCATCAATAGACGATCCTATAGATTGATTATGTCAAAGGGTCTCATTAGAGGGGCTTCAACAGCTGTGCATATCCTACATTTATGATCATACACAGTCTGTGTGTTTTTGCTAGAAGTCACCTACTGAATAATACATGGATTCTGGAAGCAGTCTTCAGCAACAGGACAATTCTGTTCTGTAAATAGTTCCAAGTTGTCCATCTAGTTATCTTGGAATTACTAGTTTCTTTAGTTTTTCCTGTTTTCAAACTAGTGACAAGGGAAAGACACAAGCATTTTATCTAAAAGTAATCTCTAATTTTTGCAACAAGCTTTCTCTATTTTTTCCTTTACAGTAAAGTGGTATGTAAAGAAGAAATAAATAATTTTGGAGCATATTTATCAGTCTTATTTTATGAATATATATACTTGGAAAAAGCAAGCATCATAATAATCCCCATTCAAAACAGTTTTATACTTGTAACCTAATGGTAACCTTAGTATTGCACCATATGAAATACTATGAGACACTGAATATATTCCTTCTGCCTAATTTAAGACAGAATTAACATATGTCTTCTGACTTAGGCTATGTCTATACTGCACCATTTTTCTGCAAAAGCTTATGCAAATGAAGCGCAGAGTAAAATATTGCCACACTTCATTTGCATAATTAATAACTAGGGGCCGTTTTTGCGCAAAAAAAACCCTCTTGAGCAAGAGCCATTCTTCCTCATTTTTTCAGGAAGAACGGCTCCTGCGTTTACACAGCTCCTTTTTGTGAAAAAGTCTCTTGCACAGAAATGGCCCCTAATTCTACTCCACGCTTCATTTGCATAAGCTTTTGCGGAAAAAGGGTGCAGTATAGATGTAGTCACTGAGATTTGTAAAACTGTTGAGACACCTTAAAATGCAGAAGGGTATTTTTAAAAATTGTAGGCACCTAAATGCCTTTACAAATCTAGCACCTTATGACTAAAAGTCATATAGATTAAGAATGTCAGCGTGTAGATGACTACATGATTAACCAACAAGTTTGGGCATGTCGGTTAATCCTGTTGCCTACACACACTCCCTTTCCTTGCTGCCTCTGTATCACAGGTGGCAGGGGAGGGGGAGAGGCGGAAGTCAGTACAAATCCCGTGGAGCTGCCTGCCCTCCCCTACTCTCACACTGCTCCCTCTGATAGAGAAACAGTAGTGCAGAGAGTGAGGGGAGGCAGGTGGAAGCTGATCCCCCAGAGGCAGTGAGGAGTGGGAGGCATGAGCGGGGAAGGGGAAAGGGGAGGCTGCCACAGATGCTGGGCAGTAGCCCAGGCTGGCAGGGGGCTCCCCAAGAATGGCCCCACCCCGGGGACTATCGAGCAGTTGTGTAACCGCTAAAATTTGATGAAGTTACACAACTATTCAATTATACGCTATCTAACATCCCAAATGTAGATATGTAGGAAAGTTATTTCAGAGGGAACTAGATTGGATATAGCATATTTTACTTTTCAGGTACAGTTTCCTTATTCTCTAAAGACACAGAAAAGTAGGGATGAGCTGTTAACAAGGCAGAGATGCTCTTCCGGAATATTTTGATTTGTAAGATAGCTTTCATTTAACTACTTGGAATTTATTAAGTTTTTAGTGGCGGGGGAGGAGTGACACAAAAAAGGCATTGAAGTTCAAATTACATCTCCCATGCTTAATTATCCTTGAGATAAAATCTTTTTCCAAAGTGTCACTTTGTTATTAACCTCCACTGGAGAAGGAAATGCCTTCAGCCACATTTGCTCCTTTGAAAGAAAATGATCGAGTACATTTTTGTGGCACTATAATTAGAAAAGTTACTCAATTCTTCATGTAGTTTTTTTTAGTTGAAGAAAACTATGTGTTTCACTCCAGTTAACATCTACATATGAATTGCTTTAACTGAGAATTCTACCATTTAAAATTTTTAGGCAGCAACAGTGTTTTTGTCTTTTTCCTTAGTAAAAGATCATGCTTTTGAGGATCATGGAGTCGCATTTAGGGAAATAAAACTACTCTGATAGAGGACTGTACATTTTTTATTTATATTTCAAGTGGTAGCAAATTCGTGACATGTATGATTTTGTATTTACATATGTAGTATAACTGAGTCAACGCCTTCAGCTAGTGTTGCCAACTCTCAGGATTTTGTGGACAGTCATGATATTTGTGATTTCCTTAAGTCTCCACCTGTTGAAATTGTATTAGGCTATGTCTACATTAGTGAGCTTATGTCAACATAGGGGTAGAAACCCCAGCTCCCCAACTGGTATTAGCTATGACAACAGAAACCCTCTTTCATTGACATAGCTGCATCTACACAGGAAGGTAGTCGGCATAGTTATGTTAGTCAGAAATGTATGTTGTACCCCAACCAATATACTAGGGTGGTATAACTTTTAATCTAGACCAAGCCTTACTTGAGATTCTCAAATATTTATGAAAAGAAGGCAAATTAAAAGAACCTAACAGTTATTGATCTCATAGTTAAGAACCTTGTGAGGGCAGTTTTAAAATTCTCATGATTTTGGTTGCCCAATTCATGACTTTTAAACACTTGCAGTAGGCATTATTGTATGTATACTATTGTCCCTGATTTCAATGGGAGTTATGTACATGTATCTCAGAAGGAAAGATTTATCCTCATAAAAGTGGATTTTTTTTTCTTTTAAGTATCAGACACAAGAGAGGCTATGCCTGCTGATGTTGTATGAAGACTCTATAAAATATATCTTGTTTCTAATCAAGAGTTAGTTTCACACTGAATGAATTTGTTTACACAGGCTTAATGTTTCAGCTAGATTTCAGCCCAGCAAGATTCCATCTTAGCTGCGTGGCAGCACAGCCCAGCAGCTGCTTAATCAGCGCTACCCAGTCAAACAGCTCTGTGCGCTGAGCCTCTGACTAGATGGGGCTTATTAAGCAGCTGTGGAGCTGTACTGCCGTGCAACTTAGCGGGAACCTTGCAACCCAGTCTCTAATTCTATGGGCAAAGTTGGTAGGTATTTACCAAATTTACCAGATTTACATGCATCCACAGAGTTAGAGGTCAGTGTTGAAAATTAAATTCCAAATGTTGTGCATTGAGGATAGAGCTCATATTTAAAAACCTTATGAGGGCAGTTTTAAGAATGTTTAAAGATCAACCCTGGAATTAGGGTGTTAAATTTTTGCATTTGTATATTTGCATAGTCATGGGATTCACTGCGCTTAATCAGGTCTGTGTTTAGATACAGTTTTATAGTATACAGTGACACCTACACATTATTTACCCGTGTGGCCATTCTCAGGCATCAAGGAGCACACTCATTCTATTTAACAATGCTCGCTCTTCCCCTTAGTTCAAGTACACTAGTTTTTAGCTGTTTGCTGTGGCAATTTCCTATAGATTACAGAGTTGACAGTCTAGTTCTATTGGCACTAATATTTATACTGAAGCAGGGCACCACTGTAATAAAATACAAGTGCTCTTAGAATTGTCTGACTTCACCAATCACAGATCAAGTTTGATGGTGTTCTTTTGAGTTTAGGTTTTCCATATGACAGCACAGCTAATGGCTGCAACATCACCAGTGTGTCTGACACAAGAGGCTTAGTAACAGAGGACTAATAGTCACTGTATTTTTTTATTGTTACTTCATTGTAATGTTGAATTTTGATGTTGATGAATCTATTTGTTTTGTATTACTATTTATTCTTACTGCTTCACACCCTGCATCCCAGGGCCTGTGAACAAAGAATGAAGGAGTTTTGTAGTACCAAGTTATTTAATTAGTTCTGATCCTATAGAAATCAAATTATACAAGAAGCCTTGATTTTATTCTACCCTATAAGCAGGTTAATCTCTGTGAAAAATGTGTAAGTATCCTTTTTCCTCCATTGTCAACTAATGTTGCCCAAAAAAGCACCCCAGAGATACTTACTGCTTTTAGGAGGGAAAGTAATCACTAACAATCTTTATTTGTTAGAGTAAGGCAAACTAGGAGCTCCTGTGTCAATATATGTGCATTTCAAATAGTGAGGCAATAATATTTACTTATACTTTCATGTGAAAGATAGCGTGCTTAACACAAATTGTCTACTAACATTGTCAGTAGTGTCCTAAAATCACTTCAGTTTGTTTTGTCTCTAAGGTTAACAGTCTGTTGCTGTCTCTTCTGTTGCTCTACTAAAATATCAACACCTCATTTTTTACTTTTTTTAACCTTTAATGGTAAAATGGTTACTTTGTAAGATTCCTGTATTTGACATTGTTTTTCTTTTTATTTTACTCCCTGCTTTTTGCATTTCCTCTCTTTTTTTTCCCCTTTCCCACCCTTCATTCCCATATGATGTTGTTATTTTTGTCTTGTGTTACTTTCTTTCCTTCTCTCCTTCATCCCTGCTATTCTTGCTGCTATAGCCTCACAGGCTGGGGAAGCTGGCCGAGCAGGTAGGGGATTTTCATGTTCCCTAAATACCCACCTATCAGCTTCCAACAGTGGTACAGACTAGAAATTGAGTCTGGAGATTTTGAGGATTATTAGATTCTTTTTGTATGATTATGAACAAGTCCAGTACAGTTCTGTCTGGCTGCAGGCTTCATGAAAACTTAGCTAGCTATAGTAATTATTTCCTTCATACTGAAAATCATAATTGCCATGATGGTTGTCTTTAATTTTCTAACTAACTTGGTTCTGTTATTTTACAAATTGGTTATGTTTTGGTTTTTTTGGGTTTTTCCCCCTAAAAAATCAAGAATAACCATTTTTAGGGTTTTTTCCACTTTAATCTTTACTTAATTATGCTCTCCACTCAGCACTAGTCTGTTACACTGCTGAGTTTATTAGTAGACTGAAAATCACATCTTTAATGGCTAGCTAGGATGTTGTATCTTGTATTTTGTGTTATTAGAAGCTAAAGAGGCTAATGTGCATGTGCAGCGCTGTTTCTCTTTGACTATCTTGGTGGTGGGTTACTGATCAGTGTCTGTATTGTAAATATTAAGTGTTAGTAATGTCTTTTCTCCTTTTGGTATGGAAATTGTTTACCTGTAGAACATTATCACAGTTTCCAGTGCTGAAAAAATTGTAAAACTACCAGTTAAGTAAGCATTGCAGTTGAAACATAGAATAGCAAATTGTCCATTTCTCAGACTTACATTGTATTATATATTTTAAAGTGGTTAGAAGACAATGTGGTTTGATCTGTAATATTCCTTGAAAACCTAAGTAACTGATACAGGGGTTCTTATAAACATTATTTGGCGTTCTATTCATTAAGCTGCTTAGGACAGACTTTCCAAAATTCCATTGTTCCAAAACAAAGTTGTGCAGTTATCATTTCCTGCCTGTCTGTGGAGTGGAGCATGTATCAAATAAAAGATCACTAGAAATAGGAAATTCACATTATACTTGGTGATGAGTTTAAGCACTTGGATAAGGGAAAAATCATTGCAGGTTACAAAATTACAGTAAAAACACTCCGTTGTTACATAAGTAACTGAATATTATGACACGCAATGAGTAGTTAAAATATAAAGTGGAAACCTGATAAAGAACAGAATAATTGCTTATAGATCTTCAGTCCATATCAGTTCATGTCACGTGTGCTGCCTTAATATCTTTAACTTTAAATATATGCTCTGTTGCATGTGTAGAAGATCTTTTGCAAATCATGTTTCACATACTTGACCCCATACTTTTACCATTTAACTGTGTCTCCTCAGCGATTTCAGCATTCCTCAATATGACAAAATATTTAATTTAATTTTGTATGCATTAATGTACTGAATAGACAACCTTTTGGAAGCAAAAAAGACTGTATTGACATTTAATAAGTACAGTCATTTGACATTCTCACAAGCCGCAAGGCAACAGTTATCCCAGTGTAGGTATATTTGGAGGTCATGATATTATGATTGTTATAATAATATAATTATTATAGAATATATAAGCTATTCTAATCAAGTTTGGTTTCATTAGTATTTAAATAAATGTTATTTGATTAGCTTAACTAGTAGACAAATTTTTCTATTCCAAAGCTGTAAAATAACTTTTACAATTATTCCGATTGGAATAAATTGGATTTCTTATAATTATAATTGAATATAAACTAAATTCTAACTAGAATATGTTGTATTTCACAGGGAACATCTGGACCAGATCCAACCACTGTGTATGTTGATATGAGGGCACTGAGACATGACAGGTATGAACTCCGATTTTTTTTTGGTTTCACAATATGCAGATTGGACAGATTTGCAAGAGCATAGCAGGGACAATATTACTGTGCAATTGTCAAGCTGTGAAAGCGGTATTAACCCTCCGATTCTTATTGATTTCACCAGCCACCTAAAATAGAAATGACTGAATTAACACTAGTATAATTGCAGGCTTCCAAGATATTGTGAACATCATGTTGACACACTTAATGCTACATGCTTCTCTACTTCCTTCATTTTGTTCAAAGTCACATTTGCAATCCAACCGCTTCTTGTAGGGATGCTGCTTTCATTTGTTTCACCCCCCCCCCCCCCCCCTTCCCCATCAGGCATGGTTCACTTTACACCAGGCCATTTTAACCAAGTGGGGGGTTCCCAGCTTGTTGTATACAATTCATTGAATGAAATTTAATGCTTGTACGTAGCTCAGCAGTATGAGATCTACTTTGATACGAATATTACTGCATCCATATGAAGGATGGTACCATTTTAATTATATCTGTTTCTAAACCAATACAGTTTAAGCAGGACTAAACTTCATGTAAACGAGTCCTAAATCTGTTGCCCTAATATCCAGTTTCTCTTAACTGCTAGCAGTGGTTCCTTCCTTTTTCCAGGCTAAGTCTTGCTAATTTGCCTGTTTGTATGAGGGAGGTTAAAATGAGTTTGTTTAAGTAACTGTGTAACTGATGAAATTTTCTGCAGTTACATGGTTACACATGGGGTAAGGGGTAGGAGGCTCCCTGGGACTGGTGCATGCGGGGAGCTGGCTTTTAATTACAGGCTCCTGCTTGCCTTCCCTTCTCTCCCCCACGATGCTGCCTCTTATACAGCTTTTAAGCTGGCTCCCGCACATACCAAGAGCCTGCATGTAACCATGGCTCATTGACTAACCATGTACATGATTGCACTTTCACATCCCTAGTTTGTACACCTTTCTGTACTGGAGGCTTTTCCCCAACTCTGCTGCTAATTTGCTATCTAATCTTAATCAAGTTACTTAACCACTTTGTCTTCATGTCCTTTGCTGAAAAATGAAGATAATAGTTATCTATTTCACATGGCTGTTCTGACAATTAGATATTTAATAAATCACTTGAAATGTATAAATGACTTACTGCACTAATACAGACCTCTTTCCTCAAGGTAGAAGAGTGCTATGTCATCTTAACTTGTTCACTGTACTACATTACTTTCATTAATTCCAGCTGGCAGTTTCAAATCCGATTAAATAACTGTTTAGGCAATTACAATGGCTTCCTTGTACAGCTACTTTTAACTGAGTCTTCTAGCAGAGTTTGTGTCTGCTAAACAATTTTTTTTACCTTTGTTACAAAAGATTTTAATTTGCTGTTGAGATTCAGCAGCTGCACCTCACCCCGAGGAAACATAAAAACTTTCCTGGCAGAGGGGGTGGGAAAATCATTTCAGACATTATGGTGGTGTGAGTGGGAGAACAGCAGGACCTTTTTATTGTGGAACTTTTTGTATTCACTTTTGCAACTTGAAGTCAATTTTTTTTTTTGAGGAAAGCAGATTTTTTTGTGAATTTTTCTTTTTAATCAAAATCTAATTTCTCATCAAAAGTTTAAGAAAATTTTGGAGCAGCTTTATTCACTAGTTCGGCTTCTATTCTTTGGAAAAATATGTTCAGGAACAAAATCGTGGCAGTAGTGAGCTCTTTTTCGTAGGGCTGAGTGAGAAACCATGCTCTGAGAAAACTCTAATTTGCAGTCCCAATAACCTAGAGCAGCAGTTCCCAACCTTTTCCAGATGGGGACCCATTTTGACAATTCAGGAAGACTTGGTGACCCAAGGCAATTCAAAAACGGGGGGAGGAAAGGGGACAGAGCCACTTGGGGATACACTTGGCGATCCTTTTGAAATGTAATGGCAATCCATATTTGGGTCCCGACCGACCCATAGGTTGGGAAACCCTGACCTGGAGTCACAAAATGATTATTCAGTAGCACATGTAGCCTGGTTGTTGGGATATGAAATAGTTCTTTGGCAGTGCAAGGTATGCAACAGTTCCTGGTTGCCCCACTCCCCAAACAATCCTTACTAATTCCGTGTTGCACTTCTGATATTCAGCACTACAAATGACTATACTGAGTCTAATCAGATCCATGTGAAACTGCTATCTATGTTCAGGATTCACCCACAGAGCATACAACTATTGTAATCTTGCAGGGTTTTTTGTTTGGTTGGTTGGGTTTTTTTGTTTTTTTGTGAAACAATTAATTCTGTACAATATGTGCATCACACCCATGAACGTAGACCTACTGAAAGTGAATTTCTTTTTCCTAATCCAAATCAATGGCAGGCGATGCAGAGGTGATGCTGTATTTGGGAAGAAAGACAGGATTGCCTTACTACTTAACCCCTTTCATCAGTACTTAGAATGTTGTTCATGTGTAGGAGAACATAATTTTAGCCTACACTAAAAGGAAGGTTATGGCTACTTAGGAAGAGAGATAAATAAATATGGGAAGAGTTTTTCTTCTGGGTGAAAAGGAAATCTGTAAACTAGTCCTTGAAATGAAAATATATTTTCTTTTTACAAGTTGCATACAGTTGATTTACGTACTGTAGCTACAGTAAATACTTATACCTTTTTTAGCCTGTCAGGTAAAAGTAGATGCTGTTACTAAGATCAGGGTTTGGAGTTGTACTGGACAGGAGGAATGCTAACAAGCACCCTGTGACTAACAGGTTAAACTCAGGTAGCTAGCAAAGGTGTTGGTCAGGGGGCTGAGAGAACCAGTCGAGATAGAGTGTTGAAATTTGAATTGGATATAGATTCCTTTCCTGCTTTCTTTGTGTGGGAGAGAAAAAACAGGTGTTGAGAGACATAGAATGCTTTAAATCCAGGCAGGACTACCATGCCTCCAAGGAATTTGGGACATGGGAGTGGACTGAGCAAAGAGAAAATTGGAAGGAAGTCAGGGGAAAAGGGAATCTAGTCATGTTCATGGTAATTTTTCTTTATTTTTTGGTTTGGTTTGAACTGCTCTCTGTGAATCTATGCCTCCCCTCCCCATTTACCATCTAAGACTGTGCCCAGAGATTTTTTCTGTGTTTTAATTTGTTTTCCTTAGTTGCTCTGTAACATCTAGCAACCAAGTATGCTTTATCAAGTATATCTTTTGTTTTGTAATTAAAAAATCACTTATTTTAAGGTGATAATTTGATTCTTGTGTACTAGAAGGTCTGTCTGGGTATGTCTACCCTGCCTTCCTCTTTCCAGAGAGGAATGCAAATGCAGCTGAGCAAAATTGCAAATGAAGCGTGGATTTGAATTTCCCGTGCTTCATTTGCATAATCCCATCCGGCTGCTTTTTCAAAATACCCTATTTCGAAAAAAGAAACTCTATTTCGAAAAAGCATCCAGACACGATTATGCAAATGAAGCGTGGGAAATTCATATCTGTGATTCATTTGCAATTTCACTCAGCTGCATTTGCATTCCTCGCTCAAAAGAGGAATGCAGTGTAGACATACCCTCTGGGTGTCTGTGTGTATCTGCATGCCTCAGACTGGAAGGTCAGCTACCAGAGAGACTGCAGCTTGTTTTTCTTTTTTCTTCTTTCAGTCTCTCCCTGGAGGTGGATTCAGGCATTCACCCCTGGTTTTAGGGTTAAAATCACTTAATGGTAGTAGCAATTCCCCAAAATCTGTGTTTTATGATTCTGGGGGGAAGTTTTTTGGTAACCAGTGTCTGGAGAGGCAAGATTTTTAAGCTCTCTTGCAGGCTTTCTACACTTGGAGCGCCTGAGTGAGGAACAGCCCTGACAGGAGTATATTAATTTTTCTTTAGTGTCTTGGTTGTAGAGAACACTAAGGGAAATAGCAAATCTAGGCCAACTTTAGCTAACATAACTCTTAATTTGATGGATTAAAGACTTGGTTCCGAAGTCCGGACAAAGGAATTTGAAATTTGGGTCACACATTGGAGGACAACAATCCCTTTGTGTTTTCTGTTTTATAATGGAATATCACTGCTGTTCAGTGATCCCTGTAAGCTTGTGTGGATGCTCAGGACAGATTCAAATACCAACCAGCTGATTAGCAGAGCGCCAAGCTAGGATTTTTGTTTCTACTAGTGGTGCACATTTGCATATGCCTCAGCGCACATAAAATTATTCTGCACATGGATGGAAAAAATCCACACATGGAAGGAAAAGATTTGAGGGAACATTGCTACCATTTATCAGTTCCTAAAAATAAGACTGATATGCATAGCCACAGGAGTGTAGAGCAACAGTTCAAGTCCATGTTTGACACTGTAACACAGTGCACTCACCACCATGATGCCTCCTGCTGGTCACTCAGGGAATTAGCATTATGGTGCTGCAGCACCCTCTTCTGGCTGGTGTCTTGCCTGCTGTTATTTGTTATTCTTCACCACTCTACGTCAGGGCCCACGTCTCTCCCAGACCGTGGCGTCCTTCTACTGGGGGTACTGCCCTACCGCAGTGCCCCCATATGGCTGGAGTCCTCCCCACTGGAGACCCTCAATATCCCTATGCCCACCTCCCCTCTGTGACCGACTACCAGTCTTCATCTAGCCCCTGCGACAAGGGCAAACTGCAGTCTGAAATTGCCACTCATCATTGGCAAGGGGTTGTGGACCTTCTGCTTTTGGCTATCCTAGCTGCTTCCCTAGCACTCTGAGCCTTGCTTCAGGCTTCGCAGCCTGGGAGCTTACCTGGGAGCTTTCCCAGCTCTGCTCTACATCAGGAAGTCTCTCACTTCCCTAGCAGCTAGGTCCCTCCTGCTCCCCAATCAGAGCAAGGGTGAGTCTCTCCCTTCCTCCCTCCTGACGCCCTTATTTATACAGCCCACAGCTGGGCCCTAATTGGCAGCTATCTGTTGCAGCTGCTTGCTCCATAGCTCCAGCCCTCATCCAGACACTATTTAGTTTAGATAGTGCAAGAATAAGCAGTGAAGCATTATACTGTAAACAAGGTAAACACTTTGACTT